ACAGTGTCAGTAGGTAAAACTTTACCTAAGCTACAAAATAAATATAAAAAAATGTTTTAAAAAGGTATGTAATTTGAGTAATTTTAATTTACGGTGTATATTTTTTCTTGAAAGTCACAATACTTGTCCGCAACTTCTTCGAAGACACCATCTCAATCAAACAAATCGTTCGCAAGATATATGTTTTTCTATTGATGCGTATCCTTTTTGCATAAGTCCTTTTCAAGTGTTAGTCGTGTACAAAACTAGGGAACCAAATATGTAAAATGGCATGTTGGACAATAACAAACAGCTGTGCAAAGTTTTAACATAATCGTAGAAGGTCGATCAAAAAATTAAAAAAAAAATTAAATGGAACTGCTGTATGGACCATGTATGGAGTAGTTGAATCTGAATAGGTTGCATTTTCAATAAACCAACACATTACAGATAAAAAGTTTTTGTAGATTCTTTTCCGAAGGGATCTAGAAAGGCGAATGTTAGGCTTTTTCACGTTGCCAGTCGTTTTCTTTTGAGGTTTTGCAGAGTTTTACTGGGAAAGGTGGTCCCGAAACCAACCAGCATATCTCTCTATTCAAACGGGATCCGTTCGAAGTGTTGCGAGAGCAACTTATCGCTGGAAGAAATCGTTTTCGTGAATGCTTCATTTTTTTCCATTTAATTTCACGATAATAGGTCACGGGCATTCCCGTCCTTACCGTGATCCATCGACAGCCAACTTGCTTCCCGCCCATTCACTTGTGTTTATCTTCTTTTTTCGTTTCCTTCTTCATTTGCAACTGTTGTTTTCTTGCCTTTCCTATGTTTTGAGACAAACCTGTTGCGGTGCTACGTAAGTCCTCAGACAAACAGACGTAACTCTTCATTGTGTATCTTCGTTCACGCATTTAACGGTTGATTTGAATATTATCAGCTACGCGAACTAAACAGCCAACTTGCTTCCCGCCCATTCACTTGGGAAAAAACAGAACCTTCCCTGAAAGGTTTCATACGGTCGGGCAACCCTAGTCTCGGTAGATGGTCTCGGAAGTGGCGCTTAAGCCATTTTTACTAAAAAACGGGAAACTCGTAAGGTTGTCGGGTTACAACTGGTGATCTCAAACTAGGCAATACCAGCACCGGCCGCGCCCGAACATAGGTCCAGAAAGGAATGGGTAGGAATGTGTTGACGTGACACTTGCTTTAATGGAAGCCGAGAACACCTCTGCACTTCCACGAGGAATCACTGGGATATTGGGTAAGAGGATTGGGTTTGCAGCAGGGTTCGTTTTGGTAAGCGATAAGCTGAATTGATATCCTAGTGATTCTATAACGCGAAGGAGCTTGAAATTGAACGCACGGTCTTTTGCTCAGTAAGCAAAAACGAGCATCTTTCATTACAACACACCAATGATCGATATTCAAAGTATTCAGATTAAAAAAAAAGTGATTAACGAATCTTGAATGTGGAAGGGCTTGTCATTAATTTCTTGATGTTCTACTCAGTAAGCAAAAATGGTCGCTCTAAGGCCACCAAGCCCCTCATATCACATCATACAAGCTACGATCGCGTTGCTATTGCAACCATTCAAAACCGGACCCGAAGCTGATGTTGATGAAGATGTTAAGTTACACAAAACACACGATAACCAAGGGATGTTACTATAAGTCTCCTTAATATCATAGGACCTGGGATTTATTCAAACTCAAACTCGACGGTGGTGCCCTTTACACAAGAATAAGCCTCTATTATCGATGATCTTCTAAACCTGGAGACAAAAAAGCTACGCGACGTTCATTCTTTCCATATGGTCCTTACGTAAGACGGGAACAGCATTCATCAAAGTTTCACATTTTTGAACTACCCTGCCCCTTACTTCACAGAGTAAACTACGACTGACGCGACGATTTCACCAGCGTACAAATATTGCACATCTTTGAGACTATCTCGACCAAACTCTATTGCGTTTTAAAACGTCTGTTTTCTCCTTCATATTTTACCGAACCACCCCGATCATGCGTCAAACTACCACATCAAAACCATCAAACCACACAATCGAACACGACCCGCCGTGACTGCCGTCAGTCTTCAACCAAGGCCCTCATGATCGTGTGAAGGTCGCACTCAACAACACAAAAACTAATCGGTCAAGTGCCAAGCTTGCATGTTCGGTCGCAACATTTATTTTATTAACGAAATAAAGATCATAATGCATTATTCGTAGGCCCCTAACCGTGAAAACCGAGGAACATACCTGACGCGATCAAGGTCATCCCTCTGGAAAATGGGAAACGATGAAAATAAATCTTGATTACTCTCTCGAAGGAACGCACCGCTCCCGCATATAACGCATCCGACCCCAATCCAGCACAACCGGCATCTCGCCCACACATGCCAACACCACCATCAGATAGGGAAAATTTTCCCCTACCTGAAAGTGGCACCAGCACGCGCGGGTGAACCACCAATCCCACCAAACCGACTGTCAAAAGCATTCATGTCCCCTTGAAAATGCAATCGAGAAATGTACAACAACAATCTTCAACTGGAACGTACTCACCAAATCAATATATCCGGGTGCGCATTCCCGATGCTTCGACGCATATTTTTCTCTAGTCAGCCACACAATAACTACATATCACTTATCTTTCACACAAAAGCAATGCACATCGCAAAAACCTAACAATAGATCAGCGCGGTCGAGTCACACCGGTAAGAAAGGGATGCGAGCAACCTGGTCTATACAAGGTGTGGATTTGATGGCCTGTACGTATTGGTGCAGTTCGTTTTTCACTCAGCTTTCAGTCGGCTTCGCACGATTTGCTTCTTTCGTACGCTCAAACGCGCTCGTAGTTACGTCATAACGTTTGTTTCAATCAACGTTTGCATTGGAAATTGAATATGAATTCTCGATAACTTTTTCAAAGGGACGTATCAGCTTTTGTAAACAATGTATTTGATCGTCGATTTGGCGTAACTGGTAGCTCGAACACACTTGCTAACACCACTATCAGGTAGGGGAAATTTTCCCCTATCTGATGGTAGTGTTGGCATGCGTGGGCGAGCTACCAGTTACGCCAAATCGACGATCAAATGCATTGTTTACAAAAGCTGATACGTCCCTTCGAAAAAGTTATCGAGAATTATAGAATTGCTGCATGAAGCCAAAATTTATGAATGTTTTTCCACTGAATGTTGAGATAATGTATTGATTATTTTATTAGCACACTGTATACCATGAAAAAGCAGCCTACTGGTGAGTTTTTGCCCGTTTGCAAGTAAGAAGTTACTATAAAAATACATAACGCTTGCTGATATTTGCCGGATACTTTACTAAAGCATACAAGCAAGCGCAACCATCATGCAAACATATCTAGAATTTGCTGTACTCCATATTTCACAAATTTGCTTCGACTGCTATGACGTCGTGGTCATCCTCTCCCACAATGTTTACCTTTTTCTCTCTACCAACACATACGTGAGGGTTTGATTTCCACACCTTGTATAGACCAGGTTGGGATGCAAGAGCACACCAAGCACCTTAGCAGCAGAGGGAAAACATCAGCACAAACCTTTCCAAACCAAATTATCACGCCCGGGACACAAAACTATTCAAATTCGCCAGCACAAAGTTAGCCCGAACTCACAAACCATGCCAAAAGTCACTTACGTCCATTTGAAAAAGTACTCGACCATTAGAATATACAATGTATACGATCAATTCTAATGCATTTTTGATTGAAAAGCGAATGATGTCCGTTGCAGATACTTTGGGAGTACATATGGAATTTTTGTTTATTTAATCTCTCGGACTAGTTCCTTCAGAATCAGTTCTGAACCAAGTCCAATAGAGGGAAAAAAAAATCATACGTTGCGGCATACTATTTCACACAAATTTTATATGAAAAATCGTGCTGTACCATTGATGGTCCCTCCTGGATACCGGACCGATTCTCCTGTCCATCGGAGTCCATCGAACCGGAAGCTTCCCATGATTAACGGGAAGATTTTCTCAATAATAACCTCCTCCACTCTGGTTAAGCATTTTCAGCATTCTCGAAGCAATAAGCAACCGTATATTTTGCCAGACGTGGTATTTAAGTCGCATTTGCTGCTGATAACGTGCTTTTTTTTAATGCTTCTTGGTTACCTGGGTAGTTCTCTACTCTAGTAGCATTTACTTGGAATATGTGGATTGTATTCGAGTCTTGCACTAGCCTATTCATTTCGCGACATTCATAAAATGCTGGCTCATAACCAAAATATCGGCATATCGGTTCCATTGGATAAAATGATTGATATAGCAACATTGCACCAATACCTTTGTGAAAACAATTGTTCGTGCCACTGACTTCACTGTAATATTCTTGATTGTCAAAAACCAGATCTTATTTCTGTTGGTTGCCCAACTCTCTTCTCTACTACTACTACTACTCTACTGAGATAAGGGTGTTTATTCTTGTCGGGTTTTCTTTTACAAGTGAACCCTCATTAATCTTTACCATTTTTTAACATGCTCAAATGTTTGGGTTATGAACCTAACTAAGGGGCGACTTCAATGATTGCAAACATGTTTTTTTTTGTTATGTGAAGCATCTATCTTGAGAATCTACGTAGAAACGTTAACCCTTAACTTCCTAATAGTAGAACAGTTGCTCCATTTTACGTTTGTCAATTCAGCTTTAAGTAGTCAGCATTGATATGAGTGTCTCAAAGCGTCTCGATGTGATCATGTGAAATCGATGTCTGTTTGAAAACATTACCACTATCACAGTACCATCTGGACCAAAATTTAGAAACTAATAACACCATTTGTATCAGTCTTTTTTTTGTGCAGTCTTAATCGAGTTTCATTTTTTCACATTGAAATAAGAAACAAACTCATCGATTGTCGAAGCAGTGAGTACCCTCCTGCTAACCAATCAAACTAAATTGAAAGTGTCCACGCCAGCTGAATCATATTTATATCTATACTCACAGTTATCCTTTCCTTCTTTCATTCTCTCTAACAAAATATTAGGCTTCCTGGTGGACAAGTTCGGCCGCTATAAGCCAGTGGTGATTATGAGTCTGCTGCTAAATGCATTATTCCATCACTCGTTGCTGTTGATCCCGCAGCAAGAAATCCCCGGCAAGCTACCGGAAGCATATGTAATGAGACATCCGGAGACGGGAAGTGTCGAGGTAGGTGTAATTTATTTGCTTCCTCGCTCGCCATCAGTAGCCGTTGGTGCAACATGTTGGTGTGTGCGTGTGTACGTGTCGGTGACCAGGACCCGTAGTATGACACTTGGTGGTTGAGCTTTAAATTAGACATAAGTTAATTAAGGCCGTGGTATGGGCTGTCGAATAATTATATTTCCGGCTTACATAGGTTTGGTGGTCTCCATGCCCTAGCCGCGAATGTCCTGAGGAGGAGGAAATTGACATCGTTGTGGACCAATGCCTGGATCACTGTCTGCTGTTGGAGCAGAATCCGAAAATTGAAGTTGTCCCACCGCCAACGTTTGCCCCCATCTTGCCTCCTTCGGACGTCGGGGAAAAGGATGACCTGGAACTATTCATCAACAAAAAGATCAACAGGAAGAACAAAACATTCGATGTACTTAGTAGTGTTAGTTCGAGCACCACAGAGGCGTACATAGATAGTGAGATTTGTTTAACGTTAGAAGTCGCTGTGCTTAATTCTAATTGACCAGTTGCTTCGTTTGTATTTCAGAGCTAAAACTTAACCTAGAGCCAGACTCGGAGGAAAGTGAGGAGAGTTGGGTCATAGCAGGTAGCGGGGATTCAGCTTTCTTCGTGCTCGATATGCATCCGGATTTGGGTGAACCGATTGAACAGCTTGGTATGGAAGTTGAGCACGACGATAACGAAACGGTAACGGTTTTCAAAACACGTTTCGGTGAAAAGCTGCTCTGGAAGCAGGGAGTCAATGTTACCGCTTTGGAGGAGGAGGATCTCCGCTGTGGAGGTTTAGTGCTGAATTCCAACATGTCACTGAACAGCAATCAACGTCTGAGCGAGCTGGCAGCCGATTGTATGGTGCAAAGGTGTAATTTCAGGAAAAATGGACCGGAAATTTGCCCACCGGATTACAAAGAGAGTGACGATAAAGTTTTTTGGATGTACTTTGGATTGCGTTTCCTCGCAACGACGATGCTGTCGGCTGGTGTGACGATAATGGACCCGATTGCCCTTACCATGATTGAGAAGTATGGTGGCGATTTCGGCCGGGAGCGATTGTTCTCAAGCATTGGAATGGCCATTTTCTCACCGATCACAGGATTTTTGATTGATTTCTTCTCGAGAGACTTGGGCTACACAGATTACTCGGCTGCCTTCTATACGTATGACGTGCTGCTCGTCGTTTCATCCATTAGTGTATTTTTGATGCCACTCGGAGAGAAACTACCGGCCGATAATGTGTTTAAGGATTTACTGAATCTACTGAAGCTGAAACATGTCATCATATTCATTTGGTTCCTGTTCCTGTTGGGTAACTTCTGGGGATTCATTGAAAGTTTCCTGTTTTTGTATCTCAAGGAACTGGGAGCACCAAACTATCTACTTGGTATGATAATTCGATGGCTGTTGGATTTGTTGAGTTCTCACTAACGGTTTATTTTTCAGGCATCACAATCACGGTAGGAACTGTCAGCAGTATTCCTTTCCTGTACGGGGCAGGCAGAATCACCAAATATGTCGGACACGTCAACTTGATTGTGATTGCTTTCATCGCACACGCATGTCGACTGGTGGGATATTCGTTGATCGAGTAAGTATTGAACTACACATAATATTACATAAGGTTAACCCCTCTTGGATAATTCACGCAAGGAGCATTTTGAAAGGTGTAATTGTTTGAAATGTAATCGATTTACAGAGCGTTAACATGTCTGAACCGTAAATTGAATAATTTAATTTAGAACTGGCTACCCACTAAGACCGTTCGCAATGATGTTGTGTATTATTTGGATTGATTCATAATTCATAATTCGTAAATTCGAGCATTATTTTTCATTCATAATTCATAATTCGAGCATTATTTTGCACCAGATTTGCACCGGCTCGACTATTCGGTTTTATTTCTGAGCACACGAGAGAAACACGAATGGAACTCTGTTTCAAATTTCTTTGGATGTATTTGTTAATGTTTCACGTAAATGTTCAGAGAACTTCATAGAAGTTGAGAAGATACAATAGAAATTTGGGAATTTTGCAGAAATTTTGGGAACTTTTGAGAAGTTTAAGGATATTTTATAGAAGTTCGGAGAACTTCATTTAAATAATGAAGAGCTTCTCTAAAAAATCGGAGAACTTCGTAGAGAACAGTAAACTGTATGCAAATTGTATTTTAAAAAAGTTTCAGGGAGTATCATTGAAGTTTAGGTAATTTCAAAGAAGGGAGAGGTATTTCATAAAAGATCGAAGAACATCATAGTAGTTCTGAGAATTTCAAAGTATATCATAGAACTTTTACATCAAGAAGATATTCTCTAATATGATACCAGGCTGCTCAGAAATTTTCTGCAAAGATCTATTGGTTAGGGTATTTAATTTAAACCAGCAATATGGGTCATTCCAAATCAAGTGGTCGATGTCACCGATTTGAGCCAAACTTGGCCAAAACGCTTATTTTGGCATTCTGAACAAACGCCTTTTTTGATTTTGCTCTAAAAAGCCAAGATCCGTCTGGGCTACAACCCTGTATTTTCGAAATTTTTAAAAATTTAAACTTTCAGAAGAGATTACTCCATAACCAAATCAGCTATTCATGATCTTAGAACGTCAATTTGAAGGTTTTGTAATGTTTATTCTTATAGGTGTACCCAAATTTTGTTTTTGTTATAGTAACTACAGTAAACAGGCTGATTACTGGCAGGTATTAAAATTGTCAAAAAATGGCCTATTTTCACCATGGGCGGGATTTTTTTCACCACACTTTGGAAAACTCTTGTACTTGATGTGTTTCCAAGGGAAAATTATTTGGACAAATAGTTTTTGAGATATGACCAGATGAGTGAGAGGTAGTTTTAAGCTTTTCTGGTGAAAAATCAATGCTATTTAATATATTTTTATTTTTTCTTGAATTCCTTCATGCTGATGGAACAATAATATTGTTATGTTATTTTTCACATGATCTGGGCTGGATTATCAATGTATGAAATCATAGCTACCTCATTTATTTACTTCTGTCCATAATTTAGTTATGATCCTAAAAGTGAAAAATTCATTCATATGGGATACAGCCAATGTGTGGATGACAGTTGCTACTTGAATAATACCGAATACATCATATCAAGAAGACTGGCAACTTTTCCAGAATCCAGCACTGCGCTTGAGTGAAGGTGGAAGCAACGCATAGATACATTAGCAAATACACAAACCTTTCTTCTGAACCTTTGCTATCAAATTCGTTCGAAGCATTTACCTTTGAGCGGCAGATGACGCGATTTTAGCTGTCTCATAGCGTTCGTGTGAGAAAATGGAAAAGTTGCCAGTCTTCTTGATTTGTTGTCTTCGATAATACCCTTATTTGAGTTATTAATTTTTTTAGATGCAATCTCACGAGCAAGAATGTTTTTTTTTTTATTATAGTTATAAAGAAAAATAAACGTTTAACCTTTATTTTTAATTTTTGGTAAACACACTTTCCATTCATGAACGTAACTGTCATGTTCTTCTTCTACGCATTTGAAGCTTATTTCTTATCGCATATTAGCTTATTGCGTGCTCTCAACTTAGTGTTCCTGATGCACTTCCACAGTTATTAATTGAGAGCTTTCGATGCTAAAATCAATGCATGAGTTAACTGTTAACGTAACTGTCATGTATCGTCAGCAAACCCATAGTTCAAAATCAGTTTGTAAACCATTATGTACCATGTTGTTACTGCACCGCCCACCGTTATTTCTGTCTTTTGGAAAATTTTCTTTACTACACAGAGAATATTACATCCAAACAGCTGCACAGAGTTCATTCCGCCGGTTGTGTAATATTACGTTGCACGATGTACATCGATTTTGCGATCAAAATTACATTTATTGATGTAATATTGCATCTGTTTTTTGCTATTACATCATTATTTCATACACCAGCTTGAATTACGTTGATCGATATTACATTTTTACCCTTCTTAGAAAGAAGGGTATAGATATCACTTGAAAAACCGACTATCGATCCGAGGCCCGGAGGGCCGAGTGTCATATACCATTCGACTCAGCTCGACGAGATCGGAACATATCTGTGTGTGTGTGTGTGTGTATACATGTGTATGTCTGTATGTGTGTGTGTATGTAACGAAATGAATGCGCTCACATTTCTCAGCAACCGCTCAACCGATTTGGACAAACTCGGCGCCAAATGATAGGTTTTGGGGTCTCATTGAACGCTATTGAACGATTTTGGAATCGGTGAACCGGTTCCGGAGATATGGCTGGAATAAGATCCGGTGAATATGGGCCTTCACGCTGGATTTAACGGAAAACGTATCAAAACCATCATATACCATTCGACTCAGCTTGACGAGATCGGAACATGTCTGTGTGTATGTGTGTGTGTGTGTGTGTACGTGTGTATGCGTGTATGTGTGTATGTGTGTGTGTATGTAACGAAATGAATGCGCTCACGTTTCTCAGCAACCGCTCAACCGATTTGGACAAACTCGGCACCAAATGATAGGTCTTGGAGTCCCATTGAACGCTATTGAACGGTTTTGGAATCGGTTAACCAATTCCGGAGATATGGTCGGAATAAGATCCGGTGAATATGGGCCTTCACGCTGGATTTAACGGAAAACGTATCAAAACCATCATGCGACACATCAAATTACTACAGAATTCAAAAATAAGATCAATGCAAGTCGTGTTAAGTGTTCCAGACCACATTGGACACACTTGGACATGTTCCGGGTACCCCGGGGAAGTTGCTTGAATATGAATTGAATTAAAACCCATTAAATCACATTAAAATACGATGATAAGGTGTTTGGTAGCCTCACCAAATAGACTACACCCGGATATATTCCGGGTACCCCCAGGCAGTGGCGTAGCGTCACTGGATGACACGGGGGTGAGGGGCTTGGTCACTGATAATGACAATAAAATAAATAAACTTGAATAAGTAAGAAGGGTCTGATCACACCATAGGTGGATAAATTCGGGTTTTTTGCTGGGTAGTGCTATAGTACTCTAAATTAGTCATCTACAATCAATCTGTTGGATTGGTAAGAGGACAACCGAGAAATAGTGATGGGATTTTCCCGCCGCACTATTTGGAGGATGGTACTCATTTTACATACTTGCGATTCGATTTTGCATAAATATCTGTTTGCTACCAGCCAAGTCAGATGAAACAATTTTTGAAGTGCTCCCAACGTTGAAAATATACCTCTTCTTATGTCGCAGGAAAATTTTGTCTTCTGAGCACAAACACAACTTACTACTTGTTTTGTTTTTGCAAGCCTAAAAATCTATACTAATACTTAGAAATAATTATAATAAGTCTGCAACTGTTCCCTGTGCACAGTTTTTAATGCGTAGAAGGAAAGAACATGACAGTTACGTTCATGAATGGAAAGTCTGTTTTAAAAAAAAAATGAAAAATGAAGGTTTAACGTTTATTTTTCTTTATAACTATAATAAAAAAAAACGCATTATTGCTCGTGAAATTAATAACTCAAATAAGGGTATTATTTAAGTAACAGCTTTCATCCATAACTGAAATTTTATATATCTGCTAATCTATCTGATTTCATTATATTTCACGTTTTGGCTGTACCCAAAGGAACGTATTTTTCACTTTTAGGACCACAATTAAATTATGGACAGAAGTAAATAAATGAGGTATTTATGATTTCATACATTGAAAATCCTGCCCAGAACATGTGGAAAATAACATAAAAATATGATTGTGCCATCGGCGTAAAGGAATTCAAGAAAAAAATGGTATTGATTTTCCACCAAAAAAGCACAAAACTACCACTCACTCATTTGGTCATATCTCAAAAACTATTTGTTCAAATCATTTGCCATTGGAAATACATCAAGAACAAGTGTTTTCCTAGGTGTGGCGAAAATTTGAGCCCAAAATATTAAGAAATAAAAAATCCCACCCATGGTGAAAATAGGCCAATTTTTTAAAATTTGGATACCTGCTGGTAATCAGTCTGTTTACTGTAGTTACTATAACAAAAGCAAAATGTTTGTACATTCATAATAATTAACATTACAAAACCTTCAAATTGACGTTCTAAGATCACGAATAGCTTATTTGGTTGTGGAGTAATCTCTTCTGAAAATTTAAATTTTTAAAAATCTCGAAAATACAGGGTTCTAGCCCAGAAGGATCTAGGCACTTTAGAGCAAAATAAAAAAAGGCGTTTGTTCAGAATACCAAAATAAGCGTTTTGGCCAAGTTTGGCTCAAATCGGTGACATCGACCACAACTTTTTTAAATTCTGTACCCACTTGAGCTGGAATGACCCATATAGTATTTTTGCCAGTGAGTTTTGTTTCAGTGTATGAGTTAAATAACATCATTATACCTCTCTCATAGTGTTCGTATGTGAAAACGGAAGAGTTGCCAGTCTTCTTGATATGTTGTCTTTGGAAAAAGCCGTTTTTTATCGATTTAAAATGAGAGAGTATAGATATTCCACAACACTAGGCTTGTTCCTGTATTGGCAACTTATAGTTGCCCTTCTCCCCCTCTGGAGAAAGAAGAGTCATTTATGAATCGGTACATACTTTACTGTACGAGAGGAGATTTCTTTTCCACCGTAACACCTTTCTTTAATGGTCTTATTTGCCTATTGCAGAAACGCTTGGTGGTGTTTCCCCTTTGAGGCAATGGAAGCGTTGTCCTGTCACTTGATGTGGGTCGCTGCTGCCACCTACTGCGCGCTGCTCGCCCCGAAGAGCCTTTTGGCCACGCTGATCGGTGTCCTTGGAATGGCTCACTTCAGTTTGGGCCGCGGCAGTGGTTCCTTCTTCGGTGGATTCCTGATCGGCGAGGTTGGCACCAGAGAGGCCTTCCGCTACATGGGATTGGTGGCCGTGGCGGGTGGAATCGCCTACAAATTCATCCATGCCATCTGGTTGAGAAAGTACGATAACCCTGTAAGTTATTTGACATGTTTTACATAAGTAAATGCTAAGATTTAATTGGTTTCGTTCTTGAAAGGAGCTGGACGATGAATCAGCTGAAAATGGCGAAGCTGAGAAGCTGACCGATGGCAAGGATGGCGAGGAACCGAAAACCAGAGACCAAGGCACTTCGATGTCGCAAGAGCGTCTTTCGCTGATGATCAAATACAACCAGATTGGCTCGCTGACGTCGCTGCCACGTGGCTCCAGGGTAAGTTTCATGCTCGACCAAAGTTTACCGTAAATAAAAAAGGATAAAATTTGTTGACGCAAATGCGAAAAACTTGTGCTGTCTCGCAAAAGAAGCAGGCATCAAAATTATGAACTTTTTAAATTCAATTCTGTGGCGCGCCATACATCCTATGGCGAACTTCCCGTCGAAAGAGCCATTCCAAAATGAGAAAAAAAAAAGATCTGCGGCGAAGCAAACCGAGCGGGAAAAGTGGCGTAACAAAGCAAAGCCGCATAAAATATGGTAAAATGCTCAAAGGATTTCATGTTTCACAGAGAATGGAGTTTTCCGGAAAAGAGATACAAGTGAACGCCTGAATGGTAGTGCTGTGGTGACGGACGATGACGGCGACGAGGACGGGTGGGTGGGGTTTGAGTTTGAAGAAACACAACAACATAAAGCAGGAAGAAACAAATTCGCTTAGGAAAAGAAATGGAAGCACATTCTTGTGGCGAACTTCGTTCTTGGCAAGCTCTTTCGGCTGCAACTGGCTCCTACTCCCGTCCATCCTATCCCATCCCAACCCTCCTTCGTTTCATCCACCAAGCGATGGAAGCACCAACAGTTCGAAGATCTTGCGGTTGAATGAGAAAATGTTTTTCATTAGAAGAATTTCATCCTCCTTTAACTTTCAAATGAAGCCGATCCGTTTTCGTTTATCTTCCAGATACAGAGATATAGGTAGTACAAGAGAAGAGCCAAAGCTTTTGTTCAAGGATATTATTGGAATGTTTTGCAGCGGTTGTGTTTCTGACTAGTTGTCCGGTCGAACGGTCCACATCCAAAAGGCAAAATAATGAGTACTGGGTTACCACAGAGACTGATTGGTGAGGGGGCTTCTTCTGAGAAGGTGGTTCAAAATGCGTAGCATGAGATAATCTCTGTGGGCAGGTTGATGTGGGATACTGAGATATTGCTGTTTTCAAAACATCTTTGATTTTCGAGGAAGGAGTTTTCATTTCCAACTGATTACGAAACGATTTTCAAGGCTATCTGTGGCCATGTCAACACATCCACGAGTCCTACACAAAATTTCAGGCACGACTTTCAAACAATCTGCCTATTTTGGCATCTTGAGTGCTGGTTGGAGGCGAACCAGCCCCAGGCTGAAAGCCTCCCTAATAAAGATAAATCAATCAATCAATCAATCTTGAGTGCCAATATGCACACTAAGACATGGCAGCCCATTTAATGTACCATTTAAAAAATGCAAAATGCAAATTTAATGTACCATTAAAAATGCAAAATGAAAACGCACCCTGAAAAAAATGGCATATACCAATAATAAAATGCTACTTTTTCGTTGAAAAATAGAAAATGTAGCCAAAAAATTAGAAATTTCAACGGATAAACGAAAACAAATTCCCTCGAATGAAACTGGTGCATTTGGACGCGTAACTGCAACATTAAATGAATTTCATTAGAATACACAGCTTTTTCTCGTAACAGTCGCTCCAAACAAAGAGGTTGTGCTATTCTGATTAGAATTTTATTGTTATATTACATAAAATTTTAATTAAAGCGTATCATTATTTTCAATATGCATTCCTTCTTCGGAGGGGCAACGCAGGCAGTTTTTGAGCTTTACGCTCCTTCTGCGTAGACAATCATCCATACAAGTTTGCTGAACTCAGACCCCCTGTAGATACAGACAACATACAGACCCCCTCCTAATCTTCGTGTTTTATGAACAGCCCCTGCTTATGTAACGATAGTGAGATTTATTTCCATTTCGTCAAGCCAGTGTAGACTACATACAATGATTATTACAATGTTTACTTACATACTATGCATTAATTCTATTCTGTTTTAGCTTAGTTTGTATTTGCTGCTTGGACATAGTGATGTCAATAGTTCCGCAATGCAAATTATATAGGCGCATCATTCGATTGATTGGGCTATTTTTTGCATAGTTTGTTCTGTACGATGTTTCTGAAAATAAATTCCGTGTTCTAAGATATCGACAAGGTGTGTAAAAATTTAATTGTGCGAGAATTTCTGCCGAATCTATGCGCATTGAAATAATGTCGTTGATGAAGAAAAGCATTGCAAATTGGCGGCGCTCCTTAAGTGCTTGTATATTGATGAGCATGCAGCGCGCTTCATAAGATGGTAATGGAAATGCAGTCCAATTCAATTTACGTAAAGCATATAAAAGAAATTGTTTTTGGACAGATTCTATGCGTTCTTCGTGTATGGAAATGTATGGATTCCATACTAGGTGGCAGTATTCCAGAATTGGCCTTACATATGTGGTATATAAAAGCTTAATAGTGTATGGGTCTTCGAAATTATGACTGAACCTTTTGATGAAGCCTAGCATTCTGTTTGCTTTACTAATGATAGTATTATAATGTTCTATAAAAGTTAGTTTGGAGTCTAGGATTACACCTAGATCTCTTACAATTTTGCTTTTTTCTACTATTTGGTTGCCTAATGATATTTCAATATGCGGTGTTTCAATTTTTCTGCTAAATGCTATTGCAGTACATTTTTTTACGTTCAGTTGAAGTAGACTTTTACTACACCAGGTGTGGAATATATTGATTTCATTCTGGAATTCTTCTGCATCGCTAGAATTATTTATTTCCATAAAGAGCTTCATGTCGTCTGCATATACAAGCAATTTTATTTTTTTTAAGTATGTAGGAAATGTCGTTTATGTACAAAATAAAAAGAAGTGGGCCTAAATGAGAACCCTGGGGTACCCCAGAGGTGACTGAAATTGGTTCTGAAAGTTTATTTTGAAAGCGAACTATTTGTTTACGATGTGTTAGGTATGATTGAAGCCAATTCAAAAGTCCAGGCTCCATTCCTATTTTCTGCAATTTGAGGATTAATAATGGTATGTCGATGCGGTCAAATGCTTTACTGAAGTCGGTGTATAGCGCTTCAACGTGCTTGCCACTGTCCAACGCTTTAATAATGAAAGATACATATTCTAGAAGATTAGAGGTAGTTGAGCGACCTTTAAAAAGTCGTGCTGTTTACTTGTAATTAGATTTTTCACCTGCTGAAAAATATTGCCGTTTACGATTGATTCAAAAAGTTTTGGAATGCAAGAAATAATAGCAATTCCACGATAATTTCGAATGTCTGATTTTGCACCTGATTTGAAAATAGGTGCCAAATAAGATGATTTCCAAATTTCAGGGAATTTTCCATTTTTCAGACGCTCTAGAGGAAATGCGAGTTCTTCAGAAAGGTTTTTCAAAAATATGGGTGCGATGCCGTCAGGTCCAGACCCTTTCGACGCGTTTAAGTTTTTTAGTGCATTGAGGACTTCATGTTGAGAAAGTTGGTTGACAGAGATGTTTTTAGAAATTTCAGGAATGAATGCAAAGAAATCGCGGTCACGATCTTCTTCGGAAAATGTGGTGTATACTTCTTGGAAGAAATTTGCAAAGAGATTGAAAATTTCAGAAGAATTCTCACCTACATTTGCATCCAAATTCATTCGCGAAGGAAAATTGCTGCTTTTTAATTTCGTGTTTACATAATTAAAAAAGTTCTTAGGACATGATTTGACTTCATTTTCGACTTTGCGGTTATAGTCCTCATATGCAGAGTTGATGGCTGTATTTAATTGGTTGCATAAGTTGTGATAGTTTCGCAAATTGGTTTCAGTTTTTTTCTTTTTTGTATAGTTTATGAGCTTTCTGTTTTTTATTCTTTAAATTTTTCAGTTGTGGATTGAACCATGCGGGTAGTTTATTGTTTTGTGTTCGTCTTCTTTTTTTGATGGTACAGTTTCTAAAATTAGGCTTTGAAGAATTGAGTGAAATTTTTCTACTTCAGTATCGACATTTCCTTCAATACTTATTAAATTTTGCCAATTTATTGTACATAGTCTACGTTTGGCTTCTTCGTAATTTACTTTATGGTATTCCGGCACTTCCTCGTATTCCCAGTCGCTGGAGGAAGAAGAATTTTGTACGAAGATTGAGTATTCAATTGCTGTGTGAAACACTTAATTTTTCCATAAAGGTGCTAATGATGTATCCACACAGAAGTCTTCAGTACAATTTGTAAATAAAAGGTCTAAATATGAGTTTTGTTGATTTTTTACATGGTTTATTTGATTAAGACCAAAATAAGATATTTTGTCGAATAATAATTGTAATGTTTCGTCTTCACCTACGACCGGGAGTAAAAATGATTCATTTTCAATGTCTGTAATAAAGTCTGCGTTTCGTTGACTGAAGTCGCCATAAATATGCAGTTTTACTTCTGGTTCCATATTTGACATTATAGTTTCAACAATTTGAAAAAATAGTTCAAAAGACTGCTTGTGGGCATGTTTAGGTGGAAAATACACAGAAGAAAAAATGTGTATTTCACCGGCAATAAGTGCTTTGACCCAGACATTTTCGAATTCCTTGTGCTTATTTGTTATGATTTCTTCAGAAGTAAAGTCAGCATTGATGGCAATGAGCACTCCACCACCAGACTTTTTATTACAGAGTTGAAAATTCCTGTCGTGCCGGAATACATTAAAATTGTTTCCAAAAATTTCTTCGCTTCTGACGCTTTCGTCCCAGCTTGTTGCAGTTCCAAGAATTATTTGAAAAGAAGGCTGGCTTAATATTACTTAAAGTCTGTTCCATTTAGAATTTGACGGCACAAAATATGTCATTTCTCCAAGGGGAAATAAAGTACAAAACGCTAAAGGTATCATTTTGTAGGATTTTTATTTAGCTTTAAGAATGAATTTTCAAACTTTTCACGGAATATCTCTCATCATGTCTTGCACAGTAGTACTGTCAACCTCATTCACCATCCTTTTCCACCATTTATCCAAATCAGATGGTGTTTTGATTGATTTGCCACATTGCTTCAATTTGCGCTTGATAATTGCCCAAAATTTTTCAATGGGACGAAAATGTGGACAATTTGGTGGACTGATACTTTTCTCAATAAAATCGAAATTATTCTGCTTATATCATTCTATGACATCGCGGCTGTAATGGCAGCTGGCT